ATTTGTATTAGTACTGCAGACGTGTCCTTCCTCTGTAAGTAACAGAGAGAGGCCAGTCGGCAATAGAAGCCATCGTTTTTGCTCTCTCTCCTCGTGGGCGGTGTTCTGAAAGCCCTCGCGGCCTCGTGCAAATAAGCCTACCATTGTGACAGATGCGACATACATACGTGCCGGCGTGATAAACAAAGATGAAGGAACGAGTCTCTGTAGTGCGACAACACACCAAAGAACCACTATTGTCTCTCAGGGCACCTTCAAGTCGGCCGAGTGCTTTTTGAACGTTGATTAGATATTAATGTGTATTTACTTGACGCTAAATAAAAATTATCGTCAGCAATCAATCTCTTGTCCACTGTTTTGCCGATAAAAAGTCTTGCCCGGCGAAAAAACCGCGCCTGTACAACAAAGCAACCCTCTCAATGGTACGCAGTTAAAACGTGAATTGAATCGTGAATTTTCGCTCACATGTTAAATTGGTCTGGCCTATAAAATACTCTGCCCTAAAATGTCGGATTGAGTGTTGCATAGTCCTACTATCAAGATGTCAAGATTATCTGCGGAAAATTGGGAAAGAGCTGTTGGACGTCTGCAAGCCGGCGAGAGCCCTTAGCAGGTGGCAACAGTCCTGGGATGCACGCCAGCACTTTCTACCGCCTGCAAAACAGATTCCAGGCAACCAACCCCACGAGAGATCTCCAAAGAAACGGAAGACTTCGACTGACAACAGCTGCCCAAGATCGCTTCGTCGTGCTCCAGAATCGCCATGATCCACGTTAATCTGCCTCCGAGACAGCCCAGAACATCTCAGGAACGCACGGTAGAGCCGGGAGTGATCGCACCATACGCGGCCGACTGGTGGCCAGGGGGCTGCGTTGTCGGCGTCCGGAGTAGAGAGCACCCCTGAACGTCCATCATCGACGAGCTCGTCTCCAGCGGGCTCAGAACCACGTTAACTGACGTCATCGACAGTGGCAACGTGTGATCTTCTGCGACGAGAGTCGCTTCTGCATCGATCCTGACAATAGACGGGTCTAAATTTGGCGCCGCACCGGACAACGCTACTGTGACGAGAACATCTGGGAGAGAGATCCGTTGGGAGGTCAAAACGTGATGATATGGGACGCAATTGGTATCAATCAAAGACTGGGCCCCATAATCTTCCAAAATTTAGGACCTGGACGTGGCAACGGAGTGACGGCACAGCGCTATATCAACCAAGTCCTGTAGCCCCATGTTGCTTCATTTTCCCTTAGACCTCTTACCGCACGTGTTATCCATCAGTTTCTGGTGCAGAACAACATACCCACCATGCCTCACCCACCCCGATCACCAGATGTGAAACCAATAGAACACCTTTGGGACATCCTTCAGAAGCGTCTCAACCAACTCCAGCCCAGACCCCGGACAGCTGCACAACTGGGTGCTGCTATTCTTCAGGAGTGGGTGCAGGTCGCCAACTGCCAAATCAATCGCTTGGTCAACTTTATGCACCGCCGATGCACTGCTGTCATCAACCCTAATGGGGGCCATACCCGATACTAACTGGAACTTAAGCCCCAAGGTCAAGGTCGTTGATGCCGATTAACAAAATCTGTCCCCAAGCAAATTCCCAACTCTCAAGCATTGTTTTGTGCAATCTGAGACATCTCCAACCTGTTTATCCAAATAAAAATATTGCTTCAATTTACTCTCCTCTTCTTGTGTTATGTAAATTAGCATTTCTTTTGCCGGTAAGTATACATAAAGTCAAACAACATGACGGTGCGTGTACTAAAAAAGACATCCGCACAGTGAACTTTGATCAAAGAAACTACACCCTACGATAAGATGCTGCAGCTGCCTCTTTCCCTCTGTAAAAAACGTAGCACGCGTAAAATAGGCCACGCCCCCAGCGAGCGTGTGACTGAGCCCCGATGGCTTGGCTCTGTGCTTGTTGGATAGAGTAGAGTATGAGAGCGTCCTAGTTAATTCTACATCTAAATCTAGATTTAGATCTAAATAATTATATAGATCTATCTACCAAACAAAAGTAGTGATCAATGCATTTCAATAATTTCTCTAGATCTAAATTATCTAAAAAGAAAAATAAAAGATTTAAAAATAGTCTCACTTCGGTAACCAGTGATAAATCTAGTGTACCGGTACTGGGCACCGGGTGCATAGACTCACGATCTACTAAATCTAAATCTAGGTCTAGGCCAAGACATTCACAATCACGAAATCTAGGTCTAGAATATTATATCCAATGCAATATTAATGATCGTATTGATGAGATAGTATTGATGACAGGATCTTTAGGAGTACGCATTATTAGAAATCAAAAGATAGTGTCAATTAGTATTAACAGGGAACGCTGCATTAGCAGGAGAGAAAATGAGGGGGGGGGGTGGGACGGAGAGAGAGAGGGGGGGGGGTGGAGGAAGAGAGAACTAATAAGCTACTGCAGTTAAAACGACAAACATGCACACAGAGAGCTAGATGAGTGAGGGACTGCACACAGAGAGCTAGATGAGTGAGGGACTGAGTGAATGAGAGAGAGAGAGAGTGAGTGAGTGAGTGAGAGTGAGAGAGAGAGAGAGAGAGAGAGAGAGAGAGAGAGAGAGAGAGAGAGAGAGAGAGAGAGAGAGAGAGAGAGAGAGAGAGAGAGAGAATACAAAGAATACAACATAGAAGTATATTTCTTATTGACTTGCTCTCTCTTTTCTAAAGGCTCACGCTCTCCTAGCCTTGACAACGGGGTGAAAGTTTACGACACACTTTCTCCAGTGCCAGGGGCGAAGGCTGACTTGTTTGACAGGGTAATCAAAGTAAAACGGGACCAGATATGGCCTGGGGATATCACACAAAAACCTATCTGGAGGCGGCGACTCAGAGTTGTGAATGAAATCCAATCCGGATTTCATTATTGTATGTTCAACCGCCAAAATAATCGGGAAAGTATCTCATTAAATATCAATTCCAATTAAAATTAAATTTAACTTTAGATGTGAATACACAAACACAAAGCAAAGAAGCAGAGATGTCAGTACTAGATCTATATGTTATAGATCTACCAGGGAGTCTAACTCTTTGGTAGAACATGCCAATTATCATTTTTTAAATTTCTCATTTAGCTGTTTTTTGTTTAGCCTTTCGCGGCCACGAGCCTGTGTCATAATCGAGGTCACGATCTGATTATAGGGCAGTAAAAAGTCGAGGAAAAAAAAACAAGCAGTCGCAGCAGTGAGAGATTATTAGGAGTTAGTTCCCGTCACATCTGTGAGGTAGACTCGACCAGTGTAATAGTTATCTTACCTAATCAGTGCTTGAGACTGATTATAACTGTGGCCCGAAAGGGGTGAACAGGGTGTATGTGGCAATGACTGCTATGCACATGTTCCTTTTATCTCTGTTGGTAGACTCTTCCAGTCTCACTTTAAGTTTACTTAATCAAAGCTTGTGACTGCTTATGGAGTGGCCCAAGAGGGGTGAACAGGCTATTGCAGTGGCAATGAAACCGTTTAGAATGCTAGGCATACTTTTCATTGGTGATTATGAACGTCTTTTTACATTTGATTTATGAAGTTTACGTTTATGGGTGAATTTAACTGTGACAATGTTTCAAAATTAGGAAGGGAAGCAGTGATTATTTGATTATATAGACGCTTCGCCTCTGCCAGTGACACAGTCACCTATGCACTCATTGGACCTTCGTTAGGTGCTTTCAGTTTTCCTCGACTACACAGTTGAAACCAGCTCATCATAGATGGAATAATAATATGCTTGAGGTGCTGTGTGTGCCACTGAGATTTAAGTGCTATAAATCACGTCGAACCACTTTTAAGGCAACTTCTTCATCAGATGAAAATTAGTTAGAAAAAATTTGGAGGTGAAACAGTTTCGTCCCTGCCATCCAGGAGAATCTAGAGCTAACTTGAATAAAGAGATGGAAGACAAAGTTGAATCGTTCTTAAATTGCCGTGGCTCACAGTGAGTATAGAAAAATCATCACTGTTGAGCTCTTAGTGCTTGATTTTTGGTAGTAAAGAAGTGGAACCAACCTAAGTCCCACCCAAATGTTGGTCCACCCACCCCCACTGGGTGGTTGTGGTGGTGGTTGTTGTGATGTGCTTGAAGATGATTTAATGATGATGATGTGATGGTGGCCGTGATATGATGACAAAATGTACAGAAGTGGTCAGGACATATGGTGAGCGTGTCTCTCTCTCTCTCTCTCTCTCTCTCTCTCTCTCTCTCTCTCTCTCTCTCTGTGTGTGTGTGTGTGTGTGTGTGTGTGTGTGTGTGTGTGTGTGTGTGTGAGAGAGAGAGAGCGTATGTGTATGCGTACATGTATGTATGAGTATGTGTGGTGAGAGAGAATTGAATTGAATTTGACTTTATTGACTTTCGAGGTCAATGGCCCATACGTCATAAAAAGTTACAAGTTAATAATGCAAAATACTGATCTCTCTGTGTTGTGCTAAAGACCAAATTACATAATAACCCGCAACACAGAATATATATATATATATATATATATATATAACATTTACATCTAGAATCTAGTTCTGCACATAATGGAATAGGCCCTCACACAACAAAGTACAAAGCACAAAGCATTGGTCACAGTCATGGACAGGTGATGCAGATTGTAAACAAAGCTTACAGGCTTGACTCTGATCTTTCTAGTTTAGCTCTAATCTAGACTCTAGATTAAAAAATCAATTTCACATTGTCCTTCCATTTTTCGTCCTTTGGGAATCTGAAGAAAGACAATTATTTGGTTTTTCCTCTTGAATTAGAACGGCCGATCGCTGAACAAAACTGGCCAGTAATGCCGACAGCATGAGCGTTGCGAGTCCCTCGCCGTGTTTGTTTACATATACTGTCGCACGCTCGCCGCTAGTGGCGCTACGAGTCGATGTGCCTCAGAAAATCGGGCCAGTGCAGCATCTTACCGTGGGCTGTACTATCTTTGCTTTGATCTCGTTACCCTACCGGTTCAGAGACGCCATTCTTACCTCTCAGCAGGCTTGGTGTCAGTTCCTTCCCGTGAAGCCAGCCTGAGGGCTTGCGAAAGTATAACAACGAATCCTCCCTCGCCAGCCTAAGCTCTTTGGTGGTTGGCGCTGTGAAAAAATAGAAGGGGGCAAATATATTTTTGTATTAAACGCTAAAATGTAGTTTTGCGTCACCCAGAAAACAAGACAGCATGGTACTCACATGAATTGATTCCAACGTAAACACACGAATTATAGGAACGTTATAGCCCTCTACAATCCAGTCGTCGGACTGTTGAAAAGACGAACTGTATACAGAGTTTGTAAGAATATTCTAATAAGTATATAGTCTCCATAAGGGCAACTAAAACATCAAGTTAAATTTGGACACAATTATTCTTATAAAAAGGAAAGTAGCAAATTGTTTCTGAGTAAATATTAAAATTTGCCAAACCCTACTTTGTCGAAACATAAATTAACATACTTTAATATTATAACATTGTTGTGACTAGCAGGTCTGCATACTGATGAATGCCATGCATTCTCTTGTATGGGCATGTTATACAGCAATGTCATCACCAAAAGCCCTCACGGCCGTTTTTTTTTTCTTGAGCAATGTCTCTGTCATATCATTAGCATTCTTACATTGTTAGATTTTTTCGACGTTTCAATCTAAAGTCAAGGTGTTTTATTTAGGATATAATGCGTTTCCTCAAAGAACTGAAGTAATAACCATGAGAGATAAGGCTAATGGATCCCTAACATGACGTTACCAGTGTGTATGTAGTGATCACTGATCAAGAGTAACGCATAGACCTCAGGGCCGAGAACTCCGGTGAACACCGTGACCATAATCTGGAAGCACTTGTAGACAAAAATCCTAAAGTTGCAGAAGTCCACTGGACGGGCGACCTTTTGGAAGGATGTACTGCGATGTGGACATTTTGTCAAAACTTTAATGGTCCTTTTTAGCAGCCCATAAACATACAGGTTCAAGAGCCAGTAAAAGACAAGGTCAATCAGGGGCTTTTAATACCAGTTAGCCTTCGATACAACTTCAATTAAATTTCCCAAAACGAGAAGGAAAATCAATAGTGAGTTCTTACCTCCGTCAGTTTCATCTTCCTCCTCTTCCTCCAAAGTTTCCCCTATGGATATTTTTCGCAGGTCTTTATCGAAAAAGTCCACCTGCTTTTTCTTGTTGAAGCTCCTTGTTTTTCTTTTGTTAGCCCGTCCACTCAAAGTGTCTCTGTTTCCAGGCTTGTCTCTGTCTCCAGCAGATCGAGAGGCACTGAAAGAATAACAGAAAGCATTATATAAAGAAAGAGTAACCTAAATAATTAATTATTAGTTATTAGTTCAATAGCATACTAATGGAAATGCTTACGTCGCAGTAGACTCACAATAAATCATTTATTCGACCTGCACCGGGTCAGGAAGCATAATTTGTTTCGTGAATGTAGCTGGTGCCTGTTGCATCATGTGTATGTGTGTGTGTGTGTGTGTGTGTGTGTGTGTGTGTGTGTGTGTGTGTGTGTGTGTGTGTGTGTGTGTGTGTGTGTGTGTGTGTGTTATTTTGTTTTAGTAAGGTTTTACGGCCCTCGCAACTGCATAAGGTCATATGAGCGCCAACTGGTGGATGTCAACGGAGAAGTCCAAACAAAGAATCAGACTTACTCTGCTCACCTCTCTAGCCTCAACAGCACAAAGTCTGCTTTGACTCTCAAGGCATCCCGAAAATAGCAGTTCACAAGAGAGTGTAGCAAAGATTCTTACTACCAAGATATTCCACCCTCGCGCGCTTGTGTGTGTGTATGTGTGTGTGTGTGTGTGTGTGTGTGTGTGTGTGTGTGTGTGTGTGTGTGTGCGCGTGTGTGTGTACAATTTTGTTTGGGGAGGAGAAGAGGAGGTACAGAATGGTAAAGGCTAAATCTGTGGACCGGGAATTGCAGAGATTGTTTAATTAAAGATGACAACAACTAACACACAAATAAAAATAAAAGGAACGAAAAGGAAAAAGAAAAAAGAAAAAGGGTTGGGTTCGGGAGGGTGGATGAGAAGAAAGAAAAGAAAACTGACAATTTAACAAACAAAAAACGAGGAACATTATTTAATTGGTTTAAGCGGCAAGATGTTCACCGATCCAACTCATGTAGTTAGCTGTCTACTCATTTCTTATTGCAACGATGGTTATAGTGTCGTAGTTAGTCTAGCTCTTTGTCCCGGTCGACATCATATTAATCACAGAATCACCAGACAAATAATGCCATTACGCGTTATGAGAGTAAATTTCTTTGTCCAACTTAAGAAATGAATGTATTGTGTAGTCTTGATTTACAATTTCTCTAAGACTTGATATTAATTTTTTTTTACCAATGTCCGGCAAATTCAAACTGTCCTTGTCTCTTCTTAGTGATATCAAACACTAACTAGTCGTTTTCCCATTATCTGGGTCCTTGAAATACGACGACAGGTGGCGTGTAAAGGAAGTAACATTACCTCTCTCGAGAGGGAGCGTTTTCGACCATAGTCTTGTCAGATTGCTACATTTCTTACCTGAAAGTTTGATTCTGACTGCAAAGATCTGACCAAATTGACATAATATTATAATATTATGGATCCCTAATAGTCGTGCTGGGCGAATTGTAAGTCAAGAAAATTAAAAATAAACTCGCTTCCGAAAACAACACATCGAAGAACTCATGGAGACCAAGCCTTGATTCTGAATAAAACAGTATTAAATCAAGCTGTTGAAATCATGTGCTTGAACAGCACATCTGACTTGGAAATTGGCGACAGTCGTTCTACCCCAACGTTTGCTTTATTACTCCATGAGATGAAGGAAAACGAAGGGCGCTTACAGAATTAAAGTTGGGATATGAGATATGGAAAATTGGATACGGTACATGGGAAACAAGAGGTGAGAGATGGGAAACAGAAGGTGGGATCCGGAAGATGGGACTGGTCATATGTGTACAATAAAGACTGTATAACATCGGGTCAGCCTGGAAACCGACGCAGAGAGAAAATGACAGGAAACAATAAATCATATTATAATAACAACAATCTTCTCTCTCTCTCTCTCTCTCTCTCTCTCTCTCTCTCTCTCTCTCTCTCTCTGTCTGTCTCTCTCTATCTCTCTCTCTCTTTCTCTCTCTCTGTCTCTCTCTGCCTCTCACTGCTCGCAGACAAAATTGCACGCGTTCAACTTAAGAGTGCTGGAACGCTTGTTTACGCTCGTATCACGGACCGCCACGCGCCAGTACAAGGATGTGCCCAAGTCTCGCGCTGACGCGAGATAGGGCAATTGAAACATCTTGGTATACACGAGCTTTGAGTGTAGTAAGGATGAATCAGGAAACAAAAAAGCAGCAGTTCCCCCTATGTTGTTGCGGCACAGTATTAGCATGACATTGATAAATCAGCCCTTTTACAATCCTTCTGTGCATAAGAAATATGTTAATATCCCCCTTTGGGAATGGCCAGAGGACACATTCAGTCAGTAGCACGGCCTTGGGGGGGGGGGGGGGGGCATGTGTGTGTGTGTGTGTGTGTGTGTGTGTGTGTGTGTGTGTGTGTGTGTGTGTGTGTGTGTGTGTGTGTGTATGCGTGTGTACATGTGTGTGTGTTGATATTAGAATGTTGGTAATTCATTTGTTTCTATTTAGCTTAAAGACAAACACTCTTAATATACAACAATATTATGGTAATGTTTGCAAGCGCCTAGAAATAAGCCGAGATTACAGACACGTGTGTGGCAAAGGGAATATGAATAGGTGGTACAACGAGGTTTAACTGTAATGTGCAGTTTAGTTCAATATTTAGAACGTGAAAAATGGTTTAATTTGAGATAAAAGACACACCATGTGGGATGATTCTATGATTTGTTATCGTGTTTTTACTAACAACACCTCTGCATTTTTGGTTTTTGCCTAATTTTTCTAATAAACTTTGAACATTTTACTCCATTTGTGCACAAAGTATTGTAAGAGTTGCTTTTTATCATGCCCCTAAGTGTTGTGCTTGAAGTCAGGTTTCATTTTGATATTATACCAATCAGCCATGTAGTGTAATTTGTTGAGCTTTTATGAGCTTTTTCTAATCACAACTTGTCATTTCCCCCCCTTTTGTTAGTTTATTTTCCTAACAGTGATTTCGAGCTCTGAGACACATTTTAGGACCTAATAAAATCCTTATTTATCTTTGCAGATCTTCGAAAAAATTGAGCATGCTCTCAGCATGTGAGTCTAATAATTTAAGAATTTCGATTAAAACAGAATGATTTTTCTTGTATTTACGTGACGTAAAAAATGGGCCTCAAGCCCGTTATGCACTTTTTTATATGTTTAAACATAAAAAATTACAATTTTAAACAACCGTAACTCAGTTGTTTGTGCACGGATTTTGGTAGTTTTTTCTGTTTTGTCTTACCGAGTAGATTCCAATGAAAACTTGTTTCTGAGATTTGGATTTTTCGCTTGTGGTACATAAAAATAATGAGACACCGACAAGCAAGCACGGACAAACTCACGCTGTGGCGTCACTAGTGAGGGAGGAAGAGGACGACTCTCGCAACAGAGCCTCATTCATGGATAAGGTCGTGTTCTCGCGAGTCAAAGACGGGCGTCGGCTGTCGTCAAACGTTCCAGTTCCTGAGTGAAAGAAAATGAAATTACATGTAATGAAAACAAGAACAATATATGTACACAATCAAAAGAGAATCAAATTCAATGGGACGTGTAAAAGAACTTCGAAGACATGAAAGAGATAAGCCTGCAGGATATTTCTGGAAGCGGTTTGAAATCCCAAAATAGAGCATTGGCATTACACGTTATAAAAGGTTTGCTTATTCATTTAATCTTTTGTAAGTATGTGTACTCTTAGGATAATAAATCTCTACTACAAACGTCTAAGCGTGCATGTATTAAGTATTATGTGAAGCTTCGAATTAACCTCTAATTGCCTGACATTTCGTGTCCACTTCTAAAGTTTAACATTTTTTATAGTTATTGAGTGAGCCTGAATACATTTCTAAACAAAAGAAAAAGCTATTCAGAAACCTAATACTTTTAAGTTCACTGTAAAATTACATTTTCTTCCCTCTAGTTTAATCCAACCTAAATAATGTTTAAAAAATATATATTACAAGACGCCAATGAATGATCTAAAGTGTCTAAATTGTGTCGATGGAGACGTAAAAAACCCACCTATACTTACGAGGCTCCGAATGATCTAACGTTTAATACCTGAAGTCTTAGTTTACTAAGTATGTTCTTCACGAACCGTCTCAATGTGGTACTTTAAGAAAGACCCAATCACTCAGTCTTCAGGAATACTGGTACTGCTCGTGGTATGGCAGATAAAGGTCGAGAGAAATCCCCCAAAAAGATGGTAACATGCCAAGGGAATGGGGATCCTATAAAGTATCCAAGCACAAATGACATCGCAGAATACCATGGGGTAACAGTCAGAATACTGCATCTAGTTTTAAAATCACAATACTATTATTACTAATTGTTCATTTACACTTTATGCGTGTGGAAGAGAGGATATGTATGTATGTATGTGTGTGTATGTGTATGTGTGTCTGTCTGTCTGTTTTGTCTGTCTGTCAGTCTGTCTGCCCGTCTGTGTGGTGAAACATCAATCTAATGTGCCATCGTCTGGACAATTTAAAGTAATCCTATCTTATTCATCTTATTTTGTGTGTTTGTGTATGCACGCGTGAGTATTTGTGTGTGTGTGGGGGGGGGGGGGGGGTGGATGTGAGTGTCTGTGTGTGTGTGGTGAAACACCAAACCAATGTGCCATCTGCTGGACAATTAAGATAAGTCCTATCTTATCTTATTTACATGACCGTTCTTTTTTTTAAAACCTAGGCGAGTATTTCTGTTATTGTAACTCTGTGCACAAGAGGGTTTGTGTATACCACTTAGGTGAAATTCGGCCTGTTATGGATATTAAAAAATAGTAATCGATCTTTTTGGCTTGAATTACTGTAATCGAAATACGTAAATAATTTAAAACTCAATCTCATGCAACTTGCACCCCAATGAGCTTTAAAAAACTGAGTTTGAACCTGTTTTTGAGCGTTTAGGAGACCTGCCATGCCTGTATTTAAAATCTTAGGCTAGTACCGCACTACGACAGTTTGTCCTGGGACAGACCCGTCTGGATTTTGAAACCTTTGAATAAGAGTGTGATGAACCTCACCTATTACGACAGGACATTCTTGTCGATTTGAGTCCCGATCTGTTGCGAATTGCTACAAAATCTGTGGGACAGGACTATCAAAGTCCCGGGGTAATATCGAGAAATTATGGGGATTATAGAGAAATATAGCCGCCTACCGCATTAGGACAAAACTGTCCCAGACTTGGTGGCGCCTGCTATCAAGATCGTGGGGCTTGCACGTTGTGACGTAATCACTTAAAAATTTGCCTCCTCGCAGGATTAAACTTGGAGTACAAAATTTTAAAAATAATTCTTGCATCTCAAAACGGATTTCATATTCGGAATCAGCGTCTCAAAATAAGCAAAAATGGCACACGAGGAACATGATTTGATGCGATACTATGTAAATTCTAATAAATAGTAAGCAATAAGAACTAAACAGTGATGATTTTACTATAATCACGGCAAAGCCACGGCATTTTGAGAACCACTCATACGAGAAGAGTCACCTTTGACTTCCATCTCTTTGTTCTACGTTAATTTCTTCTGGATGGTGTGGACGAAGCCATTTTCATTCCAAATTTCTCTAATTATTTTTCATCTGATAAAAACGTTGCTCCAAAAGTCGTTTGATGTAATTAATAACTGTTAAACCTCAGTGGTACACACACAAAGATGTACACACAGCACTCCATACATATTATATCGTCTATGAGCTGGATTATAGTCCGGACTACACCAAATGAACAACCTGTCGGCCTCATTACACTGAATCTAAGAGGCGAATCTCTCTGAATTTTTGCATGCGCCTTTGAATTCTAAAAGACCTAAAAAATATCCATTTTCGTGCATATGCGACAAGAATAAAGAGGTGCTGTCTATATAATAATTAGTACCAAATTGCTCATTAAACTCAATACCGCGCACTTTTTATAGCAAGCACGGTACCATGCTAAAACCATTACAATACAAATTGTCGTTGTAGGGGCTAACTGGACATACCCCCCCCCCCCGTGCAGGTCCATTAGCAGAGCCCCCCCCCCTCCCCTTTACACATAAATGTTTTGTCCTTTTTGGGGGGATTTGTAATAGAATAAAAGAGACGGCCTACATCAGTTTCTTTGAAGAAATAGTTCAGAAGTTTTAAGGCAAAGGGTTTTTTTTTGTTTGTAAATTAAGTATTCTAATCATGGTGATCAATGAAAAAGCGACAGCAAATTCAAACGCTTGCGATCTCAATGACTGAAGATATGAAATATTTTACTCATTGTATATTACAATGAGTCAATCAAAATATACCGACTGTCACCCACTAACCGCTGGGTTAAAAACAACTCGGTCTTGCTCACAGCAGTCGGTTTAAAAGAAGAAAAAAAAGAAAATAGATTTCAACAAACAAAAACGCTAACACTTAACTACCGTTCTTGTTCTAATAAAAATCCCTGCACAGACTGTAATTAAATACTAATGATATATATTTTAAAAAACTCTTTATATTTGTCGCATAGGCAAGAAAATCGGAATTTTAAAGGGTTTTTAAAATTCAGAGACACACGCAAAAAATCAGAAGAGTTTGCCAATTACTTTCTGTATAATGAGGTCGACAAGTTGTCCATTTGGTGTTGTCCAGACTCAAGGCCGTGTTGTCGAGGAAAATAGAACGAGAACGCACTTAACAAAGATCCAATAGGCACATAGGTATCTGTGTCACTGGGGGAGAGTGCATCGTAAACTTTCACCCCATTGACAGGGCTTGGAGAGCTTGAGCCTCCTGTGCAGTGTTATTTTTTTCTTCAAGTCTTCTACCTTTTTTTAAAAGGGGTTTCATTAAGGAGGGACCGTGGGAATGGGCTCGTCCTTTGCTGAGCCCTATAGACATTTGATTGGCTGTTAGGTTACTATAGTTGTAAGCCGTGACCACAGTGATTGGATAAACAAGAAAGCCGCCACGCTCAATGATTATAAATACTATGATAATGCAAAGCGGCAAAAAGTGTGCGCCGACACGAAACGCCGGGGGTCAACCGACGGTCAACCGTTGACCTGCTTCCTCATGAGCGAGCACTTGGTGCGGGTAGTGCGGCTCGTTGTTCCTTTGTTAGAGGCCATTAAAAAGCTTTAAATACGTTGGTTTGAAGGTGAAGGCTTGGGTGTGACCAAGGCCCAAACAACCAGATGGTTTTAAAAACACTTATTTAAGTCCCACCCTCGAAATGCCTTTTTTTTTACCCCAAGGGAGATAAAATGATAGTCCTCTTTGACCCTCCACACTCAATTAAGAATTAGAAACAATTTGAGTTTCCACAATTTATGTGGGCATACTCATCATAATGATACAGCGAGCTGGGCAGTTATTGAAATTTCTATGAAAAAGACAGGGTTCATTCAGGGTGGCACAGACACATGGTTAATTTTGTTAAATGTTGCTACATTAAAGATGCAATGCACTTAAAAATGCACTTTCCGACGTAAGTAGATACGCTTTGAAGAAACCTTACCGGTAACAGTTTGAACATTGTAGTCACGAGGCTTGAAAAAGCCCAGTTTTAAACTTGTGGGATTTGTTGGTTTGTTTGAAGCTGGGTTTTTTAAAACGCATTTTAAAACGTTGATGAACAGTAGACAGAATCTAAAGTTGAAAATACTCCAGGAGCCAAACGTAATTGAAAACAAAGGTAATTCCTGCAAATGCAACACCGTCGACTATGAGTATAATTATTAATGTCAGACTGAACGGTGATCTTTATAGTGCAGTCAACAATTCGTGGCGCAACTTATCCTCAAATACATGTATATTTTTAACGAGTGAATCAATGTAACCTAAACTTAAACTTTGCACAGCAATTTGCATCAATTTATCTGAACGTATTCATATGTTTCCACAACAACTGAGGCTAAACGTTTGTTCATGAAATTATATAAAATACTATTTAAAAAAAATATGGGACCAACTAGTCACAGCACAGCGCTTATTGTAGTAATACTGCATATTATGTTGTGTGAGCTCATTACTACGCAGAGCAACGCGCTCCGTCACTGATCTCGATTCTCCGACAATGCACAAAGGCCGAAGAAGGATTGCACGGTCTCGGTATTTTGGGTCTCTGGCCACGTTGATCACTCTATGTTCATTGCGTGCGATTATAACAGTTTCAACTGCTTATTTCGTTATTTTCATTTGCTTTGGGATACTGTTGAGGGTGGGGAATGGGGGGGCTCAAGCCCGTAAGCCCTTCACAATCTTCCGCCACTGATAAACTCACCTATCCCACTGTCAAAGGAAAGATCAGATCTCATTCGCTCTAGTGTCAAGAGTTCGGTGTCTTCGTCACTCAGGTTAGCCTTTAACTTGACCTTCTGCGTCATGCGGGTCACAAGATCAGTGGAGTACTTTGGAGTGGATTTTGCATCAAACCTTCAGGCGATGAGGTACAGGAAAGGATAAGAAATGTGTGACATCGTGGTGAAATCAAACGCTCATAGAAAATAATGGAATAACCGACATTTTTCCGCCTGTTGGGCAATTTTTAAAAATTGATTTTGTGTTTTTTAAAATTAGTTCAACATTATTCAGATTGTTGTACTTTTAAAAACATATTTTCTAAGATCTATGTGAATTTAACTGAACCCCCCCCCCCCCCCCCCCCCCCAACATTGAGCAAACGCATAAAATTGAAAAAATGTAAATTTGCAGTTTCCAATAACCCCCAAGACTTGGTAGTCACCAAATGCTGGTGGCCTTTTTTCTAGCTAAACGACGCCCACCGTCTTTAATAGCAAATCTCTACTTCTATTCAAGACACATGGCTTGCATATAAAGCAAGGCAAATGAACAGGCTTGAAGATACAAGTAATAACTCTTCAGCTCGAAAACGTGATGAGCACCTGATTAAACCATGTTGCAACACAATGGTTGAAAGGGAATGAAATACGCAAATGAAAAAAATACCTTTGAAGAAAGGAGACAAATAGTACGTTTAAGAAAGGAACAGTGGGAAAGATAATAATATAAGGCGAATTTGAAACAATACGAAACAGAGAGAGAGATCAACAGGAAAAATTGAGAAACACAAACCGCTGAGGGAGACATTTATAGACAATAATTTGAAAGAAGAAAGATATTTAAGGTGATTAATACGAAACTAATTTAAGCACAGAGAATTCATGATAAAATACCTTTAAAATGTAAACTGATGAGAAAAGCAGCTTGTTAATCATTAAAATTAAGAATCGACACAGAAAGAGAAAAAAAAATAAAACCAAGCAGACAAGCATATTGCTGGCAATTATTCCTTACTTTACTGAAAGAAATAAAAACATGAAACAATGAATTACCTTTACTTACCATACTTTCTTCTTGACGTTGTTGCGTTCAATCGAAAACTGTGCCAAATCATCCTGAGAAAAAAAGAAAAAGGTACAGTAGAAACCAAATATAACTGGCCCGATAATAACAGGGATCCGGTAATAACAGGGATTTTTTAAATTCCCGTTTTTCCTACTTTTTGTCTCTATTAAAAGTAACGGCAATGACAGGGCCTCATCGAGCCCAATCGGTTAAAGCAGGGTTCGTTAACAATGTGTAAAAAAAAAAAAAGAGAGAGAGAGAGAGAGAGAGAGAGAGAGAGAGAGAGAGAGTGAGAGAGAGAGAGAGAGTGAGAGAGAGAGAGTGAGAGAGAGAGAGAGAGAGAGAGAGAGAGAGAGAGAGAGAGAGAGAGAGAGAGAGTGAGAGATGGAGCAGACCCACGCACGCTATGCCACTGCAAGCTCACGCAGCGGGGAAAGCGAGAGGGCTGCAGTATGCTGCAGACTTCGATCTTGCCCACGGCTTACTAGAATTATCAGGCCTCCTCAGCATGGCCGTAGTCTGAAAATGTGGAGGCGACACGTGGGAGTCACATTAAACAGCCGATTCTCATCTCATTCCTATAAATAGCATTGTACTAAGTGTTTAACAAATTCCCTTGCAGAAATAAATAAATATCCTTCCTTTATAATACCAACTAGCTTTCAAGGTGCACTTAACATTTTTCCATTTTAAAAAATGTTCTTAATTTTAGATCTAAATGAAATTGTGTTTTTTTAATTTGAAAAACATTTATGAAATTTAATAGATCTAGGTCAGAGGAGGTGAGGAGAACAGCGACGGAAGTAAACAAAGTTTTCAAAATGTCAGCCGCCTTGCCTTATGACTTCTGATGTGAAACGTGTGACACGAGGATAGGCCTAGTATTTCATTTGGATTATCAATTTCAGTGCTTTCGAATGGAATAATGTACCTTGTATAGACTTGTTGAAAATGGGTAGAAAATGTTGTGTTACTGGGTGCAGGTCAAATTATGACTCTACTGACAAGGTTACCTTTTTAGACTAGACTAGATTCTAGAGAGAGACTCTAAATCTAGAATCTAGATCTAGTTCTAGATTTAGAATCTAGATCTGGATCTAGATTTCAAGATGTAGTCTGACTACATCTAGATCTAGATCTAGTTCTAGATCTAGATCTCTACCTAAAGATAAAGATGAGAGAGAACGTTGCATAAAAGCAATCCCACGCGACAATATTATACCCGATACTGCAAACACTGTTGTTTTTGTATTAAACATTTACCAGATGGATTTGAAACTATTTCTGTGAAAGGAAGATTAAGACAAAGAAAACCATCCATCGCTATTTTCTAATTTTCTCAAAAGTTTAATCCCAACACCGGTGCCCTTAGCAAGAACAACATGTAGAGCTAGATCTAGATCTAGAATCTAGATCTAGGCTAGTTATTCAGTCAGATCAGTTGAAAGGGGCCAGTTAGAAGAATATTCACAAAAAGACTTTGTTTCTTTTGATTCATTGTGTTCATTTGTAGGAGCCATTGTGTGACAAGGTAGGCTATGCAGAGTGAAATATTTATGGACATCTCACAGTATTATGGTTTTGAGATGAGACAAGACAAGTGCTTTGTCATGAGCAATGTTTTGCTAAACAATTTCTGCAAGATATCCAATCCACCATCTGAGAAAGAACCTAAACAGAAAGTCCTAAAGCTGTCTTCATAAACAATGTAAGTTAAACCTTTTGCATATGTGTGTGCAGTGGCGTCGCGTGAGTTGTAGACAAGGTGGTGCATAATTGGAAAGTGAGCAAATGGGCCATAGGCTTAGTAGCTAGATCTACTATTAAGATTTTTAGAGAAAGTCAATTAGAATCTGCAGGATATTCCGTAATCTACATCTATCGATATTTACAACTGTCTCTAGACGAAACCGCCTAAAAGCTGCAATTAAGTAAAACAATACTAACAACTCACTATGCTCACAATCTGAGAACATTTAACGATTCCTAATTAATTCGTGCAGCACCAGGACTTGCTACACAATAGTACACAATAGAGGGAGACAACAGTTTCGATACCCATTCTTCACTGAGTTACCGTAGACTCTACTAGTGTTGTAGATAGACTTGCGGAAACTTGGATCACATTTTTAGCTTGCACCAAATTGGGGCTGCGAAGAGCAGTTTCAAGCACCTTTCTTCTTGTGCGGGAAGAACGTTGCCTAGATTTCTCTACAGTGACAAAAATAACTTTGGTGCAAAGATTTTGCTTGCCCCTAGAAGACGCTACCGCAAGCGGTGCGACGAGCATAAACCATGATGCCATCCTCGCCGTCTGTCTCTTCACTGGCGCAAGGATGTACATTTTAGTGGACTAGGCCTAATGTAGATCTAGAGCACTGACTGGTTTAGAACTATTAGAAAGGGGGGGGGGGGGGGGGCAGGGTTAGGCGGAGCGCTTGCACCAATTGCACCAATGGCGCTCCGCCACTGTGTGCGTGTCTATCTAAACTATGTCTTTATGTGTGTATACGTGCTTACATGGTGTCCATTACCCATACTTGGCAATGTTTCTACTGTTAGGCCTATGAATTATTCCATGCTTGCATAATGAATGAGTATGTTTTTAGCTCTTAGAGCATGGATTGTGTTTTCCATGGATATGTGCTGTAAAATGCTATCTTTCTTCTTCTTCTTTCTCTCTTTATTTTCAGTGCCAGTTGTCAATGGGAAATGAAGCTCTTTTACCGCACCTAGAACGAGAAATGAGACTAGAACTAGAGTCTAGATCTAGAAATAATAATAATATTGGATTGCATTTATATAGCGCATATCCACTTATGCAGTGCTCTATGCGCTTAACATGATACATATTATGGATTTACAAATCAATTTTAAAGGTACATAGTGTTACATACTCATGCAAACACATATTCACTCACGCACGCACCACACACACATACATACTCACATACACACATACATACATATGCACATACGCACATACACACTCACAACGATCTACAGTTTGGATGCATTCTGTCTAATCGAAATATGATGAATATAGAAATGCTTTTAGTTTCTTCTTAAAAATTTCTAGATTTTCTGCTTCTCTGATAGTTTTTGGAAGCCTATTCCAAACAAGTGGGGCAAAATATGAAAAAGAGCGTTGGCCATATGATTTGTAATTTATTTTAGGCTTAACAAGGGTTGTTTTGTCACTTGACGATCTGAGCGTTCTAGGAGGCACATAGGGTGTTAAAAGCTGTTTTAGATAGTCCTGTGATAAATCATTTAAGCACTTGTAGCTAGTTAAACAGATTTTATATATGATACGCTCTTTCACTGGGAGCCAGTGTAATGCTTTTAAAATAGGAGTCACATGATCATGCTTTAGTTTTTTTGTAATTATTTTGGCAGCAATATTTTGTACTCTTTGTAGTTGTTGTAACCAGAGGCGAAGCATCTATATAATCAAATAATCACTGCTTCCCTTCCTAATTTTGAAACATTGTCGCAGTCAAATTCACTCATAGACGTAAACCTCATAAATTAAATGTAAAAAGACGTTCATAATCACCAATGAACAATAGACTATGCCTAACCTTCAAAACCGTTTCATTGCCACAGAAATAGCCTGTTCGCCCCTATCGGGCCACTCCATAAGCAGTCACAAGCTTTGATTAAGTAAGCTTAAAGTGAGCCTGGAAGAGTCAACCAATAGATTTGAAGGGAACATGTGCATAGCAGTCAGAACTGTTTCATTGTCGCATATACCCTGTTCACCCCTTTCGGGCCACAGTTATAAGCACCCAGACGCCCTGATTATCTAAGCGAACTATTACACTGGTCGAGTCTACCTCAAAGATGTGAGGGGAACTAACTCCTAATAATCCTTTGACTCCTGCTACTACACTGCTAGTGCTTGTTTTTTTCCTCGACTTTTTAACGTCCTATAATCAGATCGTGACCTCGATTATGACAGCGCCTACTGGCCGCGAAAAGCTAGACAAAAAACAGCCAAATGTGAAATAAAAAATTAATAATTGGCGTGCTCTACCAAAGCGTTTCGGCTGTCTGGAATAACTTGCCATTGTAGTGCTGACATCTGTGCTTCTTTCCTTGGTGTTCGTGTGTTCAAATCTAAAGTTACATTTAAGGTTAGTTAGAATAAATATTTAATGAAATACTTTCCCGACTATTTTAGCGGTTGAACAAGCATACAACATGAATTCAGGATTTGTTTTCATTCACAACTCAGAGTTGCCGCCTCCAGTGCCAGTAAGATTCTTGTGACTTGTGTGAGTGTGATATCTCCAGGCCCTATCTGGTCCCATTTCACTTTGATTACCCTGTCAAACAAGTCAGCCTTCGCCCCTGGTTGTAACTGTTCATCAGGTACCCCAGCCAGTAAGGAATTGCAATAATCAATCCTTGACAATATAAGTGATGTTATTCAAGTTTTGGTGACACCAACAGATAGATATTTTCTAATGCTCCCTATTTTCTTCAGCTGGAGATATAGATTTTTACAAAGATTCGATACATGGTATTTCATTGACCTATCTTGATCTAGCACCACACCTAAATTTAGTTATCATAAATCAACCAATTAAGATAATATTTGTAGTTGTATAATAAGCACAGTCTTATTTGATTTCCCTTTCGGCGATCTGATTGCGCTGCTGTCCTATTGTCTCGCGTAGGCTACTGTGACCTCGTTTTAAACTCGCCTCCACATTTTCAGAGTACGGAACGCTGAGGAGGCCTGATAATTATAGTAAGCCGTGATCTATCCCTAAGCCTAGCTACACGCAGGAGTAGCGTGTCATGCGCCTGCCTGCCGCATGGCCATGAGAGAGGACTGCGGTGTGCTGGTCGTGGATACTTGTAGCAAGGGAAACTACCCATGAATAAGTACAGCTGGGTAAGTCCACAAATGCTTACTTCCCTTGCATTTCTGATTTAACAGGGATCTGAATAACATTACTTTTTCTCTGGCCCCACCATCCTTGTTATATCGGCTTTCCACTGTATGAAAGAAGACTGGGCTGCTAAAACATGGCTAGATGTTGAATAAAAAGTAAAATCGAACCTCTGTTTATCTCCATTTATCTATTTAATCTACCTTTCTCTCTGTCTGTCTGTCTGTCTGTCTGTCTGTCTGTCTGTCTGTCTGTCTGTCTGTCTGTCTGTCTGTCTGTCTGTATCTATCTATCTATCTATCTATCTATCTATCTATCTATCTATCTATCTATCTATCTATCTATCTATCTATCTATCTATCTATCTATCTATCTATCTATCTATCTATCTATGTTCAATTTTCACTTATTTCCCCTCCTCCTTCCCCATTCTTCTTCTTCTTCTTCTTCTTCTTCTTCTTCTTCTTCTTCTTCTTCTTCTTCTTCTTCTTCTTCTTCTTCTTCTTCTTTTTCTTCTTCTTCTTCCTCTTCTTCTTCTTCTTTCTCTTCTTCTTCTTCTTTTTCTTCTTCTTCTTCTTCTTCTTCTTCTTCTTCTTCTTCTTCTTCTTCTTCTTCTTCTTCTTCTTCTTCTTCTTCTTCTTCTTCTTCTTCTTCTTCTTCTTTTTCTTCTTCTTCTTCTTCTTCTTCTTCTTCTTCTTCTTCTTCTTCTTCTTCTTCTTCTTCTTCTTCTTCTTCTTCTTCTTCTTCTTCTTCTTCTTCTGATTTCTCACAGCGTGCAGTGCATCAAGTTCCGAATGACTCCGTATCAAACTTCAAAGCCCTTTCCCGGACACTCCTTTCCATTACTTCTGGAGTTCTACTCTCCACACTTGTTCCCACCAATTTCGATTTTAACTTATCAATCACTACCACCAAGCCATCCCCAAGCTCCACCACCACATCGACAACTTCCTTGGGTCCGCCCCGGTCGGCAAAGAAACTGTCAAAACGCTCAACACCCTCTCCTCTGAATAAAAAAATCTAGAAAAACTCCACAACCTCGGGATTCAGAGTCCCTCCACGGACCATCGACGTTTTACTCATCCCTACTCGTCTGAGAACTGCATCCTCTTTTTTATTTCAACTGTCAGTATCGTAACCCTCGACCCCTCACTACAGATAATCGTCTATCTTCTGACCATTTTGACCGCCCGGTACTGCCAGCCTAGACGCTCCACTACCACATGCAAACCCCCAAGCCCCAACGCTGTCTACACATGACCGCCAATCGACTCTCCAAACCAGCTCCCTCACACAAGCACTAACAAAAGACTCAAGCCCTTGATCGACCAACTCGACCAGAAGCTGCCCCTATGGTCTTTTCTACGCAGGACAATGTTCATGTACATGTACGTCAAATTCTACACTTAAGTCCACATGTAGCCTCTACCTCTAGTACCGTTCTTTACGAGCCCCACGCTGTTACCTACTGTCTCCCCTCTTTCTCATTATTCTCTTAAATATAACTTGACCTCTACGAACCCTGGTGGCCATACACCTGCTAATTCTTACGGACTAACGAAATCAGACTCTGACGGCGTCTGCCCTCGTTTACCTCCTCTGCAAACTGTATGCTCATCCCAAGCACGACCACTCCTCACGCCCAACACATCGTCCCACTACTCCTCTCCGGGAAATGTCATCGACCTCTCCTCACTACCCTAATCATCTGCACAAGTTAAACTTTTATCCAAGTGAAGAGATTTTGCCCTACCCAAAACAATTTTAACCTCTTCTAATTCATACAAGATACAAAAAATTACCCGAGACGTTGCAGGTTTTTGGAGTACTTCTCAGAACCAAACTCTTCTCCTTCTTCTGTTATACTGCCCAAATCATATTGGACTCCCCCCTCCAGGGCGTAATGCTGCCTTTGACTTCTATTGCGATAACCTAGAAAAATCAGCAGTCCATAACTGAAACACTTGCAGACTACCGCCAAAGGCAACAATTATTTATCCCGTGCAGAAAGGTCAGCGATTTGCGAGCTCATTGATAACACCAATCTAACTATCCGTGAAGTTGACAAGGGTCGCTCCATTGTGGTCTTGGACACCACTGACTACAACAACACCATCTCATCCATGTTGAACAACCCTTCTTTCTATAAACCCCTCAGCTCTGACCCCACTTCTTCTCATTTTTTAGCGCCATTCAGGACCAAATCCACCATCTCAAATATCTCAACTTAATATCCCCGGAATTGTCCAAATATATTCTTCACGGGAAGGTGTCGTGCCCCTACTTTTATGGCTAACCAAAGATCCACAAGTTAGCAAACAAAAAGTCCAAATCTCCCTCCCCCCCAACTTAGAGGCATTATATTCCAAATAAATGGTCCTACCGTCATGGCTTCCTATTGGCTGGACAGCATCCTCAAACCCATTGTCCCTGACTTCTGTGGTATCCCCTGGGTGAAAGATAACCACCACGTTCTCCAAAAAATAGATAGAAACCTATACCTATCTAAATATTCCACTCTTTTCGGACAAGCTCACTTTGGAGACCTCTGAACTGATTACTAAAGGTCCTATCAATATGAAAACTGGCTAGCTGTAAAATTTCGGGTTTTATCTCCCTTTTGCCTTTAAAAAAATCGTCTTGGTAGCATAGTTTTGAAATGTGTAAGGAAATAAAACTGTAAACAAAATTCAAGATGGCCACCGTTTCCATGGTAACCCATGAATTAATAAATCGTTTGAATGTGTGGATTTTCATTTCTCGTACGTATCTTGTTGTGCAATAAAGTGTGAATAAAAGAAAAAACGTGGCCTTCCATTTCATCAAATAAGATCTATATAGTAATGCATCAGCAGTTTTTTTGTTACTTTTAACATAACCCTTCTTTTCTGTTTTAATTTAGTAATGTTTTTATTTTACTTTTTACTTTTTTCCACTTAACATTTAGTTTCGCTTCACGCGATTTCTTCATTGTTGCACTACAGGGCTTACGTCTGGGTTTTTCATGGCAAAAAAAAGTCCTTTTACTTATTATCCACCTACATGAAACAGATAACGAAAGAGGTCAACGCAGACCCTGAACACTCAATGAGTTATTGCTTGCAGACGATCAGGCAATAATAATTTGGGACAAGGCTGGGCTACAAGGACATACAGGCCAGCTGAACGCTTGTTGCATGAGATACGATATGAAGATAAGGGCTAGCAGGACGGAGTTTCTGAATATCAGCAGGAAACCCAAAGCACTGGGGATCAGTATCGTATCAACAGATCCTTTAGCCTCTTTTTTTTTCTCCCGTTCAGGTATATTTTTTACATTTGAGCTTGCTATGGGGCATTTGAATTTGCTATGTGTTACATTTGAGATTTCAATGTTTACAGTTGTACTTGCTATTGTCATATTCTGACTTTTTATGACGTCATTTGTATATTTGGATTGCTTAGATGACTAAGAAAACATCTTACTGGTTTCCAATAATATTCGGAATCAAGCAGGACTGAGGCTCTCACTCTCTCTCTCTCTCTCTCTCTCTCTCTCTCTCTCTCTCTCTCTCTCTCTCTCTCTCTCTCTCTCTCTCTCTCTCTCTCTCTCTCCACTCAATGAGTTATTACTTGCAGACGATCAGGCAATAATAATCTGGGACAAGGCTGGGCTACAAGGACATACAGGCCAGCTGAACGCTTGTTGCATGAGATACGATATGAAGATGAGTTTCTGAATATCTCCAGGAAACCCAAAGCACTGGGGATCAGTATCGTATCAACAGATCCCAACTGAAGCAAGCCAATGAATTGGAATGCCAAAGTGTCTCGCTCACAGAAGATGGTAAACTGAATAGAGAAATTGAAACACGATCCCAGAAAGCTAAATATGCCGTCAAATATCAACTTGCACCTCTTCTGAGAGTCCCCATCATCCAGATGGGTGCCAAGGCAAAACTCAGCCATGCTGTTGTAACATTAACCTACAAGTGCCTGACTTGGTCCTTGAAATAAAAATATGAGAGGAAACTGACCACTAGTAAAATGAAATATCTGAATAAGGCAATGAACAGCACCAGGAGAGACCAGATCACAGGAAGCGGTTGTTGGAAACACAGTTGGAACAACACTCAGTTCCCTACCCAAATTAAACAAAGGAGCATTACATGGTTCGGCCACCTCTCCAGAATACTCACCAACCAGCGTTTCGAACCCAGAAGTAGAACTCAAAACGCTCTTGCAGGAGCAACAGAAGGAAACCAAGACGCAGATGGATTGAATATATAAAGGACACCGTCAGAGCCCACAACTCGACTCTCCTCCAAGCAACTCGACTTCCTAGCTGACCGACAATTGTTTTTATCACGACACCTATCGGTACAAGCGGAAGGAAAAGGTACACGTAATCGAAGATAACTGTTGATACGGTTGGAGATGTACATTTTAAAACTATATTATAATATTTTTTGTTTAATCTTTTTAGGCAAAAATTTTTCCGAAGTTGTTGTGGCATTTCAATGGCATGTCTTCTGGTGATGAGCAGCTTTATTCTCTCTTACAAGTTATGGCTAAAGATAACCGTACTTAATGCTCAGTCTCACTTTCTAACATCGCCGGTCAGGAAAGTTCACATGACAATCTCTTTAATGGTCTAGCCAATATCAGAAGTCCATAACATGAAAAAAGTGGTTGTAGTTGTGGGCTTTTATCCTTCTACACTCTGAATAAACCATGGATCCCTGAAGAAATCTTAGAACTAATGATAGAAAAGAAGATAGCCAAAAACACACCAAAATACAAAGATTTAGACAGATTAATCCAACTAAAATGCAAAGAAGCCAAAGAAGCTTGGATTGATAGAAAATGTTTCGAAATAAATATAGGAAATAAATCAAAACTCCAGAAAGATGCATGACAACAAGGACCTCAACGAAAGAAAGCACAACAAGAGATCGTCAGGAGACGTTGAAGACAAGAAAGGCAACATGTTATTTGAGAAAAAAGAAGTCCTAAGAAGATGGGCAGAATACGCAGGGTATTATTTGAAGATAAAAGACCACCCCTACTTTTCAACGACATCTATGACTCAAGACGTATATAGCTACTCCAAACGGTTTATATTACCCCCCCCCCCCCCCAGAAAAAAGCAATAAAATGCGAGGACTTCAGGGACATCAGTCTAATGCCAGATATCATGAACGTATTTTTGAAAGTCATTTGGGGAAATCAAGGGACAAATTGACCAAGAAATTGCAAAAGAACAGTTCGACTTTTGGTCTGGAAGTGGCACCAGAGAAGGAATCTTCTATAAGAACACAATAGCACAGAAGTCCAAAAAGACCTCTTTGCCTGCTTTATTGACTTCTCAAAAGCTTTTGAAAGAATCCATCACATCAAGCTGATTTAGTGTTTGGAGAAGACAAGTATTGAAAACAAAAATATAAGAATCTTACGAAGTCTGAACTGGCAGAAGAAAGCAGCAATTAAAGTGGGTAATGAAATATCAGATATTGAAATCCATAGAGGAGTGAGATAAGGTTGTGTCCTCTCTTCTTCAACAGACGTAACCGTAGATGGGGAGAAAATCAAACAAGTGCACCAATTTAAGTATCTAGGGGCAACAATCACAGATGATAGAAGAAGTGGAAATAAATAAACATAAGTACAACAACTGCAAAAACAAGATTCAGTCAAATGTACAAACCATTTAAATCTTGGCAACTATCTCTCACTTTAAGAAAGAACCTGATGGAATGATACTTCTTCCCCATATCCCCATATTCCTAAATGGCGCAGAAACCTGTACTTTGACAAGGAAAGAAGAAAGGGGCTGTTCAAATACAATCTTACATTCTTTTCGGGACTTTTTGACCCCCCTCCCCCCTTTCTTACACTTTTCTTACATTTGCCCCCCCCCCTCTCGTAATATTACATTGTTCACTTATAATGATAAAAATAATATGACATATTTTATATAGCGCAAATCCGTGAAACTATCATTGTTCTATGCGCATTGCATAATATCCATGAAAAACATGCATACACACATACATGCACATAATAATATATGCACTAAAAAATAATAGGTGTCACGACATGGTGGGATCAGGTGCTTGTCAGTTTTGAGGCATACAGAGTTATTGATATCATCTTAAAGCCTGTCCATTTGCCTTCCATTAGATGAAAACGATATTCATCTATGCTGAATAGAATTCGAAATATTTGCGATGGAAGGAGGTGTGGGTCACCTGATTTCAGAGGTAACTTTAGTGAGAAAACGGCGGCCAAAGTTTGATAACTTCAATAGCTTGAGAGCCTTTAAAACTGAAAAATCACATATTTTGTGCATTTAATGAACGTTTTCCAGTGCACTTCGCATAGAAATGTGTTATTATATGGACGTAAAAGGTGTTTAGCGGAAAAACAAAATATCAATAAAAGTTCCCAAACCTGCGGAAAAATGCCAATTTTTTCACGTTCATTATTTTGGCGAGCACCTGATTTCACCACCGTGCCTCACTAATAAATTAGAGTAAATCATTGAAGCAAAATATTGCATACTCTTACTAATAAGGGAAAAATTGAGACTCATGTCAATAACAAAAGCGCCTTAATTACACATAAAACAAGTTGCAGTGGAATTCTGATAAAGTCAACACCCCCGGACAGGAAAAAAAATGTTGACTTTGAGCAAGGTTGACTTTATCCACTACTGGCCATTGAAAATTGAAGATGACAGTTACAAAATTACAAAGTACCTGGTAATAAACCAGATGTAATCTCAATTTCAGGGAGTATAATTTTGAAGTTGTCACCAAAACAAGAGATAATGAAAGAACAAAGTAATTGGAGGTGTTCATACTACTAGATCTAGCTCCGGCGAAATATCTCTTCTTTAATGAATTCATCTTGGGATCTAGCCCCAAATTGTTGACTTTACGCAAGCTTAACACTCAAGCGGTTGACTTTATCAGAAACACAATTAGATCTACTTCAAATTATTTAAAGAAAGAAGGTGACAAACGGGACCACAGTGAGGTGTTGACTGTAAGCAAGAGTTGACTTTAAGCAAGTTGATTATCAGGATTCCACTGTATCTGTTATTACTCATCATTATGCTGAAAACAAAACGTGAAATTAGCTACCATCAACAAAGGCAGTGTTCATCAGTATGTCAAAAATATTTTTTCACCTCACAAAAGTGTAATGTTACATTAGTTAAACCTCCCCCCCCCCCCTTTCTTACATTTTTCTTACAGAAGCCAGAGATCCTCCCTACTGTAGAATGGCAAGAAGAAGTTGGAAAACAAAAAAGACAAGCAATGAGGTGTGTCAGATTCTACACACAAGACAAACCCTGCTGAATAAAACAAAACGTTGAAAAATACAAAACTTTAGCTACTTAAAACGACACGAGACCATTGTGAAAGAGGTGGTTGAAGGAAAGACGTGGGGCAGGAAAGCCAGAGGAAGGCAAAGAATAACATGGATGGACAACATAAGAACATGGACTGGCCTGGATAATGGCAGAATGTGCAATGGCAGCTCGTGATCATGAAGGATAGAGACTCATTACGGTTCACGTCAACCTCGAGTCAGAGATGACATCTCCTGTATAGATTTACTCTCATGCCGTTGCCCCCCCC